CGCGGCCCCCGGCCCCGCTGCCCGCCCGCACCGCCCGCACCGCCGCCACCATGAAGAAGCAATTCAACCGCATGCGCCAGCTCGCCAACCAGACCGTGGGCAGGTGGGGACGGGACGGGATGGGATGGGATGGGATAATGGGACGGGATAATGGGATGGGATGGGGACGGACCCTGCCCTGCCCAGCCCTGCCCTGCCCACAGCCCCATCCCGTGCCCTGCCTGCTCCCGCCCGCCCCGCCGCACCCGCACCTGCCCGTTCCCAGCTCCCTGCCCGCTCCCTGCCGGCCCCATCGCCCTGATCCCATGTGTCCTGCCTGCCCCACTGCTCCGATTCTGCCCCCTCCCTGCCTGCCCCACTGTTCCTACTCCGTGCCTGCACTCTGGCAGCCTCACTGCCCTCATCCCACTCCCTGCCCATTCCCTGCCTGCCCCTCCTCCCTTCCTGCCCCAGTGCCCTGATGCTGCACCTGTGCCACTGCCACACTGCCTGCCCCACCGTTCCTGCTCCGTGCCTGAGCCCTGCTTGCCCCACTGGCCCTAATCCACTCCGTGCCTGCTCCCTGCCCACCCCACAGCCCTCCTGCTCCCTGTGTGCCCCTTGCCCTGCTCCCTGTCTGAGCCCTGACACCCTCTGTCCTCAACCTGCCCCACTCCCTACCCCTGGCCCTGCTCCCCGCCCCTCTCTCTGCCCCACTCCCTGTCTCTGCCTGTGCCACTGCCCCCGTACCCACCCCTTGCATCCTTCTTGCCCATTCCCTGCCCCCCTGCTAGTTAACCCCTGCCTGCCCGCCTGCCCCTGCCCTGCCCCACTCCCTGCCCCCTTTACCCACTGCTCCCTGCCTGTCCCCCTGTCCTGCCGTCCCCTCTGCCCCGATGCTGGGGGGTGCCCCACTGCCCTGTCCCCCCGGCACCCCAGGGCGGCCCTGCTGGCCGTGGGGCCGGGGGCACCCTGGGGCTCTGGAGCCGGAGCCGTGCCCACGGGAATGCCCGCGGGAGTGCCCAGGGGAGTGCCCAGGGGAGGGCCGTGTGCGCCGGGGCACGGCCAGGCCCGGGTTTGATGGTGGCTGTTGTGTAATTCCTGGAGATTTTGCAGCCGGAGGGGGGGCGGGAAGAGGATTTATTTATTTCCCCTTCCCATCGCGGCACCGGGGCACTGGCACAGCTGGAGCAGCGGCTCCGCATCCCCTCGGCATCGCCAGGGCTGCTGCTGGCACCGCCCGCGGCCCCCGGGCCCCCCACGGCACCGGGAGCGCTGCCCCACGGCCCGAGCGGGCACGGGCCCGGATGGCAGCGGCTGAGGGGCTGCGGGAGGGACGGGCATCTGCGGGAGGGACGGGAATGCACGGGAATGCCGGGCAGGTGCGGGAATGCTGGGCAGGTGCGGGAATGCTGGGAATGCACGGGAATGCCGGGCAGGTGCGGGAATGCCGGGCAGGTGCGGGAATGCCGGGAATGCACGGGAATGCTGGGCAGGTGCGGGAGTGCTGGGCAGGTGCGGGAGTGCCGGGCAGGTGCGGGAGTGCCTGGCAGGTGCGGGAATGCTGGGCAGGTGCGGGAATGCTGGGAATGCACGGGAATGCCGGGCAGGTGCGGGAATGCCGGGCAGGTGCGGGAGTGCCTGGCAGGCGCGGGAGTGCCGGGCAGGTGCGGGAATGCCGGGAATGCACGGGAATGTTGGGCAGGTGCGGGAGTGCTGGGCAGGTGCGGGAGTGCCGGGCAGGTGCGGGAGTGCCTGGCAGGTGCGGGAATGCCGGGAATGCACGGGAATGTCGGCAGGTGCGGGAATGCCGGCAGGTACCGGAGTGTGGGGCAGGGAGCGCGGCTCGGGAGCTCCGGGGTCTGGTGCGGGGATCCGGCACGGCAGTGGTGTGGGAACGCCGTGCAGGAGCACAGTGTGGGAATGTGCAGTGGGAATGTGGACTGTGAGCATGGGGAGTGTGTGGTGCCAGTGTGCTGTGGGAGCGTGGCACTGGGAAGGTGGCACGGGGAAGGTGGCACTGGGAATGTGGCACTGGGAATGTGGCACAGGCGATGTGGCATGGGGAAGGTGGCACTGGGAATGTGGCACTGGGAATGTGGCACAGGGAGCATGGCACTGGGAAGGTGGCACAGGGAGCATGGCACAGGGAAGGTGGCACAGGGGATGTGGCACCGGGAAGGTGGCACCGGGACCATGCTGCGGGAGCTCCGGGAGCCCGGCGCTGCCTCCCGTGGGGAGCGGCAGGGGGAGGCTGTTCGGGGACAGAGGGTGGGATTTTCCCGTGGCATTTGCGCCAGGCCAGGTGCCCTGTCCGGACCCTCCGAGGGGGTTGGACACGTTCCCACCCTCTGGGAATGGGGGCTGCCCAGGGAGTGTCCCAGGTCCCCCGCACAGCATGGCAGACACGAGCCGGGCACTGCTCCCTTCCCTGCCCCAGGATGGTGCCTCTGCCAGGCCAGGAGCATCCTCCTTCCCACACAGCTGGAGCATCCCGCAGCCCTGGGAATGGGGCCAGGCTCGGCTGAACCCCAAATAATCCTCTTAGGGGATGTGCTGGGCAGCTGGGGGCCCTGGAGGTACCCAGGGCCAGCGGGGGGATGCGGCCCCTCTGCCCTGGGACGGGGCACCTGGAGCATCCTCAGGGCTTGGCTGGAGCTTGCAGGGCATCCCTGTGCTCATCCCGGTTCTGCTGGGCCCCACGGCAGAGTCCTGAGCAGTCCAGACAGCCGGGAACCAGGAATGACAGATAGGATTAAGGAATGATAGACGAAAATAGGGAATAACAAATGAAAACAGGGAATCATAGATGGAGTAAGGAATAATAGATGAACATAGGGAAAAAATAAGAGGAAGTGGGAAATAACACATGGAAATGTGGAATGATACATAGAAATGAGGGATGATTAACGGAACTGAGGAATAATTAATGGAAATAAGGAATAATAAATGGAAATAAGGAATAAGAGTAGAACCCTGGTGTTTTGTCTTCCTGCCAGAGGCTCACTGGGGAACAAGCACCACAACCTTTGGGGCTCTGAGGGGTGTCCCCTTCTCCCTGTCACCAAACCCCCGTGGGGTCCCCCTGCAGTGCCAGAGCCTTGAGTCTGGGAATGGGGATCACCAGGATGGATCCTGTCCTGGGCTGAAGGCTGTGCTCACACGGGGGGTGTCTCCTGGGGGCACTTCAGGACAGCAGGGACAGCAGGACAGCAGGGACATCTGCCCAGCCCCACTGCAGGGTGTGCAGACAGCTGTCCCAGCCCCTGGAGGCTTTCCCTGCTTTAGGTGGTGCAGTTTCCATAAAAAAGGGAAGGAGAGAGGGGTCTGAGGAGAAACCCCTCTCCATGGGGCAGCAGGAGCCAGAGAAGGGAGCAGCCCTTTGTCCCTGAAGGAGGTCACACAGAGGGACCAAGGGACAGGGCCAAGGTGAGCAGGAGACTCAGGGCTTGGCTCAGGATTGGGGCCAGGGCCAAGGTCTGGTCAGGGCTGGGTTGTAGTTAGGGTTGAGGTAAGGCTTAGGGTCAGGCTTAGGGTTAAGGTCAAGGTTAAGTCCAGGATCAGCTCAGGATAAGGATCAGAGCCAGGGAATTATTGGTCAGGGTAGGACCAAGGTCAGGGCCAGGTGAGGAAGTGGCTGTGTCCTTTTCAAATCCAGCCTGCAGCTCCATCCATGTCCCAGCTCCCCTTGGGTGCTGGAGCCAGCACGGAGCCCCTGTCCCCACTGGGAGAGCAGCAGCTCCACAGGAGCTGGAGGGGGAGACTGGAACCTCTGCTGGGCCCTGAGCAGAACGTTTATTTTATTTTGTTGTGTTTTGCATTTATTTATTTAATTTACTTTGGGTTTGGGTGTTTTTTTTGTCATTTCACTTGACAGAAAGAACTGGGGATGCTCAGTCCAGCCCAGCCCCACACTTGGTACCCAAACTTGGGAAGAATTCCTGTGCCAGTCCGTGAGGGGCAGGAGTATTTCTCTCCGTGGGGTGGAAAAGGGAAGGGAAGCCAAAGAGCGGCTGTAGAACATTCTGAGGAGGTTTCATGCGAAGTGCTTTTATCTCTGTTTGTGTTTGTCCATCCCCTGGCTGCAGGCGGTGGGACAGTGGCACCAGGATGTCACCTGAGGCACTCGAACAGCCCTGGGAATTTCCCAGGATCGGCTCCGCGGGGATTTTTTTCCCATGGGGATTAAATCGGGCGCTTGCAGGCGCCTGCAGAGCGGCACGCCGGGTTCCCCGGCCGCACAGGGGGATGAGCTCGCCGGGAATGGTGGCGGAAGCTCGGAGGGGTTGGATTTTTCCTCCTCGCCCTTTTCGAGCATCCCACGCTGTGCCCCCCAGCCCGGGGGCAGCGGTGGCATTTGGGGCTGGGTGTCACCTCGGTGGCTCACAGGGCGATGCTTTTCCAAGCCCCGGGACGGCCGCACCGCCAGACAAAGCCTTTGAACACCGAGGGTTTATTCCTGGTGCTGCAGGAGTACCCGGCAAGACAGAAGGACATTTTCTGCTTGCACGGAACAAGGGCAGAGGGAGATAAAAGCACCGCCTGGGATTTTCCCAGCGGGGTTTGCGGGAGGGAACAGCACCCTGTAAATAGCTGGGCTCCCCATCTGCACTTCGGGGTGCCGGTGGCTGCTGTCAGCAGAACCCCCTGGGATTTCGGCTCTGGCGCCAGCGGATCGCGGCAGCCCCGGGGATATTTTTATCCTCTTCGCGAAGAGACAGCGCTGACAACCTGGAATATTCATGGAGCGAGCGGGCTGAGGGTTTTGTCCCTGCTCCAGCTGCCTCGGGGCTCTGCGCTCCGCAGGGGCTTCTCCAGGGCTGCTAAATCGGGATGGAAGCTCGGGGCGCGGCCCCAGGAGGGAAGCGCCGGGGGCAGAGGGCGCCGAGCATCCCGTGCCACAGCGATGCCAGCCCCGAGCTCGCCGCGGGGAGGCAGCGGGAGATGAGGACGAGAGGCTTTTCCGCCTCGCAGACTCTGTCCCCCATTTTGCTCGGCTTCCCTCGGCTTGCCCAGCTGTGGGAAGGATGGAGGGAAGCGGCTCCAGCCCTCCCTGCCTGCTCCTCGTGCTGTCCAGCCTGGCACAGCCCGGGCCTGGCCCCGCTGGGAATGTGGCACAGGGAATGTGGCACAGGGAATGTGGCAGCGCTGCCCGCCCCGCGGCTGTGTCCCCGGGCTGTCGCACCGTGTCCCCACGTCGCGCTGGATGTCGCAGTCGGAGCCGCTTCCCGGGGGAGCTGAGCAGCGATTTGAGGATATCAATATTTGATGTTTTGCTTCTTGCCCGCTGAAAAGGCACCGGGAAAAATCCGCGGCTCCGCTGGGGCTCGGCGGTGCCGGGTTTGAGCCGCCGGGATCCGTGTCCCCAGCGAGGCGGTGGCAGAAGGTGGGGACAGCGCGGCCTTGGCTCAGAATCCAGCCTGGATCGCGGAGCCCAGCGCTTCCAGCGGTGACTCCGGGGCGATTCCTCCTCCCTCTGGCAAACGCCGAGGATGCCCAGTGCTCTCTCTAGGGGTTGTGGATGAGCCTCGCTCCCCAGGCTCCCCCCTGGGCTTTGGGGGCTCCAGCACCCGGCTGGCGGTGACTCCGGGGCAAACGCCGGAGGATTCCCAGTGCTCTCTCTAGGGGCTGTGGATGAGCCTCGCTCCCCAGGCTCCCCCCTGGGCTTTGGGGGCTCCAGCACCCCGGGTTTTCTCGCAGGCACGGGGGAGATGGGGCAGGAGCGGGATGGAGCCGGGCCCTGTGCGGGATGTGGGACAGACCCAGCCCGGGAATCCGTGCCTCCCTCCCCGCCGGGGGAGCTGTTTTTAGGCTAGAGCAAGGAGAAATCAGGGAATCAGCGTTGGTAATTAAATAGTGATTAAATATTTCTGGGCAGGCTGCAGCGAGGGGAGGCTGGGGCTGGGCCAAAGGGGTGTTTGGGCAGGAGATGGAGGCTTTGTGGGCACCATGGGCGTGCTCTGCCTCTGGGGGTGTTTCATCCCTGCTCCTGCTGCAGATTCATCCCTGCTCCTGCTGTCCCCACAGCGGACATGTTGCTTTCCCATTCAGAGATTAATTGCCATGAAATCCTTGCCGTGCTGGGAGTTTTGCAGGCTCAGGTCAGACCCAAGGCTGGCAGCTCCCTGTCATGGCTGGCTGAGACACCAGAGGGGGACGGTGGCAGGGGACACTGATGGGTGGCCCGGGCAGGCAGGGGTGGCTGTCACCAGGAGATGCTCCAGGGATGCACCAGCTCTGCTGCACCTCCCCAGGCCAAGGCTTTGGAAACTCACGGATTTATTTGGGAATCAACATAATTTGCTTGATTTGGGTTGATTTCTGCTGGCAGCAGTCAGCAGCAAAGCCCGAGCATGCCGTGGCTGTGTCCCCACTCACTGGCTTTGGCTCCCCGTGCTCACTGTCCCTTTCCCAGCTGCCTGCAGGGACAGGTCCGGCTGCTGCCAGGGCAGGGCCTGAGGTTGTGCTGGGAAAAATGTCTTGGGTGGGAAGCTGGAGGGGAGGAGCAGCATTTTGTTTGCCAAAAGGAGAGAAGAAAAGCGTTGGGAGCTGGGGATGCTGGCTGTGTCCCCAGGGAGTGCTCCCTCGGGATGTGGGTAACTCATACAGAATGAAGTTTTGGGGAATTAGGGATCAGACAGGGAAATTGGGGCGTCCCTGTCCCCCTCTCTTGGGAGGCAGAGGGGCCATCACCCATCCTTAAGTGGGAGTGATTGGAGCCCCTTTGCTGATCCCAGCCCACAGAAGGCTGCAGCCCGGTTGTTTTCAGAGCCCAGCTCCTCCCTGGCAGGCTCCCCAGCCCGCTGCAGCATCCCGGGATGCAGGGCTGCACAGGGGGATGCTCTCCCCTGAACCACGGGGGTTCCTCACGCTGAGGATGTGCTTTAAAACAGAGCAAGGCCGGGTTTTTGTTATTCTCTTGAAATGTTGTTTTCTCCTTCCCAATCACACCTCAGAGCATGGCACGGGTTGGGATGTTGGGAGAGAGCCCTGCCCGTGGGACCGGGATGTGCAAATCCCACCCACCTCCTGGCTGGGAGAGGAGGAGACAAGGAAAAAAAACCCTTCTCCTGCACAAGTGAGGAAGTGATTCCTGAGGAGTGAGCAGCAGGGATGTGCCAGCGGTGCCTCACTCCCTGCCACCTCCCACTCCTTCAGGAGGCTAAAAATATCCTGAGCTGGGGACGGACGTTGTGGCTGTGCCCGTGGATATTTGCTGCTTTTTTCCCAGTTTGTGCTAATTCTGTGCCACTTCCAATCCTGTCTAAATGAGAGTGAAGGTGATTCCCAGAGGAGGAGGAGAAGCTGCTCAGCTCTTGCTCCCAGTGCTCCTTACAGAAGATCTAATCAGTTTGTTTCAATAACTATTTTTTTAAAAAAATAACATAAACAGGGTTTGTTTAATTTAAGTTTTTAAAATTTATTTTTAAACCACCTTAAATCAGGTGCTGGGACATCTTTCATGCCCAAAGCAGATTTAATGCTGTTGGTTTGGGGAGGCCCTGGCACAGAGCAGCTGGGGCTGCCCTGGACCCCTGGCAGTGCCCAAGGCCAGGCTGGACACTGGGGCTGGAGCACCTGGCACAGTGGGAGGTGTCCCTGCCCTGGCAGGGGTGGCTCTGGATGGGCTTTGAGGTCCCTTCCAACCCAAACCCTTCTGGGATTCTGTGATTTGCACTTTCTGCAAGGCTTTGTGTGCACGAGCCGCGCTCGCTGTCTGACCCTTTCTCTGTGTCTGCTCCTTATTTCCTCTGCTCCAACACTTCTCTCCCTGTCTCCAAGCTGAGAACCCAGCTCGGACGGCAGGAAGGGACCAGGCTGAGGCAGTGAAGTGGTGTTTGCAGGACGGCAGCACCAAGCTCTCGCTGTCTCCTGCCGAACCTTCAGGGACCGATTGGCTGAATGACAGCTCTGCCCCAGCTCAGATTGACAGAGCTCTTTTTTCCAAGTGAAAGGATGCACTGAAGTTGTTAAAAACCCTGGGAAAAAGAGCACATGGTCCGGATGTGATGGTTTAAATGAGCCTGAGCAGCTGTGGTGACCCTGGGCTCTGGTTGCTGCGGGTCCAGGGGCCGAGGACGGCGGGTTTGTGTCTCCTGCATCCCGGCGCTCCTCCCTGGGGAAGGCGGCGGCTGCCACGGGCTCTGGAGCGGTAAATCCGTCTCCCGTGAGCAGCAGAAGGGCTCTGGCGGGGCCTCGGGCAGCAGCTGCCGCCTCCATCCCGTGGCTGCCCCCGTGCGAGGAGGCTGAGCCGGGCGGGCTCCGCAGGGAGCGCAGCCCAGCGCAGCCACAGCGCCTCTCTCCGAGCACTGCCCGCTTCCTCCTGGGAATCTGAATCCCTGTTTTCCTGGCAATAACGGAAAAATAAGGGAGAGATGGGAGGCAGGCCCTGGTTGGTGTGGTACCTGGCAGTGGGCCGTGGAGATGCTCCACCAGTTCCTTCCTGAGGAGATCAGGCGTGGCTGGTGGGAGCAGAGATCCTTAAATCGTCCCTGCATCCCAAAGGAAAAGCACATCCCTGCTCCATGATGTGCTGTGGTGCTGCTGCCTGTCCCACAGCCTTCACCCATGGCTCCTCTCCTCTCTTGTCCTGCAGAGCCGAGAAGACCGAGGTGTTGAGCGAGGATCTGCTGCAGGTGAGGCTCCCCCGGAGCCATCCCGGGGTGTCCTTGGGTGCCTGGGCACCTCCCGGGGGGGCTGCACCCATCAGCAGCTCCCTGGGGGTGCCACAGCATCCCAGCGACCCCAGGTGATGGGAACCCTGGTGATGGGTGATGGGATCCTGGGGTGATGGGATCCGTGGTGATGGGATCCCTGGTGATGGGATCCTGGGGTGATGGGATCCCCGGTGATGGGATCCCTGGGTGATGGGATCCTGGGGTGATGGGCTCCATCTCTCCCGCAGGTGGAGAAGCGTCTGGAGCTGGTGAAGCAGGTGTCCCACAGCACCCACAAGAAGCTGACAGCCTGTCTGCAGGGCCAGCAGGGCCTGGACGCCGACAAGCGCTCGGTGAGGGCAGCAGGACCCGGGGGTCTGGGGGATCCGGGGATCTGGGGGATCCGGGGATCGGGGGGATCCGGGGATCAGGGGGATCTGGGGATCTGGTGGGAACGCAGCCCCTCTCTCTCTGCAGAAGAAGCTGCCACTGACGACGCTGGCGCAGTGTCTGATGGAGGGGTCGGCCGTGCTGGGGGATGACTCCCTGCTGGGGTAAGGGGGGCTGGGGCTGGCCGGGCCTGCACTGCTGGAGCTGGGATGGGCTGGGAATGCCCTGGGAATGTGCTGGGAATGCTCTGGGAATGCTGCTGCTCCTTGTCTCCAGTGCCGGATAATGGGGATTCACTGCTGTGTGGATCTCAGTAATTAATTCTTCTCCTCCTTGTATGGGCTGGGGTCCTGTGATCATACAGTGTAATCTGCGTATTTCGACATTTGTATTTATTTTTATATTGATTTTTATGCATGTTATATATTTATATTTGAGTTACTACTATTTATATACTTACACATGGCTTATCCATATTAATGTATTTATATTTGTACATTTTATATATTTCTGTATTATAATTTATATAGTTATGTATGTTTTACAAATATTTATATGTGATTTGTTATTTATATATTTTATATTTATATTTATTTATATAGATATGTAAATACAATGACATATAGTATATAACATATAATATATGTTGTATAATATATATAATATGATTATGATATATGATGATATATGATATATAAAATATAAAATATATAGTATATAATATATAATATACAATATATTGTATATTATATATTGTGTAATAATACACAACACAATACTAATATATAACACAATAATATAGCTAAATAAGTCACAATATAATAATATAATCCTTTAGTTATTATTACATCATTACAAGTGCAGTACTGAGGGAATGAGCTTTCCTGGCACCCCGGTGCCCTGGCTGCCGCCCTCCTCCTGCCAGCGCCGCTCCTGGTGCCCGGGGTGGGTGCCCTGTCCCCCGGGGTCCCCGCTGTCCCCAGCCGTGCCTGTCCCTGCAGGAAGATGCTGCGGCTGTGCGGGGAGGCCGAGGACAAGCTGGCGCAGGAGCTCATCCACTTCGAGCTGCAGGTGGAGCGGGACGTCATCGAGCCGCTCTTCGTGCTGGCTGAGGTGAGCCGCGGCTCCCCAGAGCCCTTCCTGCCCCCACCCAGCTCCCAGGAGTTTGGGTGCCCCCGGAGCTGGGGCTCGTTCCGGGTGGGACACCCAGCGGGGCCGTCTCCCTGAGGATGTGGCGTTAGGGAGCTGCATCCTCGCCCGCCCAGCCCAAAGCCCCGGGCTGTGACCGTCCCCGGACGCCTCTCCAGGGCCGTCACCTCCTCCCGTTCCCTGTGCAGGTGGAAATCCCAAATATCCAAAAGCAGAGGAAGCACTTGGCGAAGCTCGTGCTGGACATGGACTCCTCCAGGACGAGGTAGGAATTGCTTTGTAAGAAACAAACGCTCCCAGCCATGGGTGGCTCCCAGCAGAGCAGCTCCCGGGCCCTGGCACCGCAGCTCCCGTGGCACGAGGAGCCCTGGCTGAGCCTCTGGGGGCTTGAGTGAGCTCTGCAATGAGCCACCATTTCTGCTCCTGTCCGCAGAACCCACGCATTCCTTTTCCTTGCCTGCCCTCTGTGGCAAAAGTGTAATTTTTTTCGGGCAGAAAGGGTGATTTTGTACTTTTTTCCCTGTCTTGAGGAGGTCTGGTGCAGGGAGCGGGGTGCTCCTGCCCCTGCAGTGGCACCGAGGGGAGCGGGGATGATTCAGGATTGTCCCATGGCACCACTGAGTCGTCCAAGCCCCCACTCCTGCATGTCCTGGGAGAGGTCTGGGAGGTGTCCACAGTCCCCAGCATCACGCCCAGGCTCTCCCATCCCCTTCCCCTCTCTTCCCACCTGGACACGGCTCCTTATCCTGCTGAAAAGAATTCCTTCCCTGCCGTGTGCAGTGCTGTGGGGATGGGCGTGGGAGTGGGGCTAAATCCCAGCTGGACTGGGATCATCTCGGTGCTGCCCAGCCCTGCGGACCGCGGTGGCCCTGGGGTGTGGTCACGGCTCCTTCCGTCCCTGTCCCTCCCGCAGGTGGCAGCAGTCGGTGAAGTCCTCGGGTCTGGCCAGCAACCTGCAGCCCTCGGGGGCCAAAGCCGACGCTCTCAGGGAGGAGATGGAGGAGGCGGCCAACAGAGTGGAGATCTGCAGGGTACGGGCTCCCCCTGGCCGGGGGGTCTGGGGGCTCCCCGACTCTGGGCAGAGCTGCAGCCACTCCTCTCAGCCCGCCCTGCCCCTTCCTTCCCCCCGTGCTGCCCTTCCTCTGGCTGGGGTGATGCTCCCCAGACAAGCAGGACGTCCCCGGCTGCACCATCCCCATTCTCCACATCCCCTGGCACTGGAGGGGCTCCCACTCCCTGGGAACCCGTCCTGGCAGAGCTCAGCCCTGGCTTCATCCAGCCCTGGGTTTGTCCAGCCCTGGGTTTATCCAACCCTGGGTTCATCCAGCCCTGGCCTCATCCAGCCCTAGCTTCATCCAGCCCTGGCTTCATGCAGCCCTGGGTTTGTCCAACCCTGGCCTCATCCAGCCCTGGCCTCATCCAGCCCTAGCACTGGCACAGACATTTCTCCACCTTCTCTGGGTTGATTTCTGCCATATTCCAGCACTAAGAGGGACTTTCACCTCCTTCCCTGGAAATCCCAATCTCCCTTCTTTGTGCCCTTTGGGGGGACCTGGGCCTTGCTCAGGCTGCAGTGGGGGAGGCCCCTGAGCTCCCCTGACACACCAACCTCAACCCTGTGCCACCCTGGCTCCTGCTGGGACCAAGCTGCTCCTGCTGGTGGCTCGGGCAGGGCCCTGGTGGTGGCACTGGGGCAGCAGGACCAGCTGTGACAGATCCTCTGCCCCGCAGGACCAGCTCTCGGCTGACATGTACAATTTCGTGGCCAAAGAAGTCGACTATGCAAACTATTTTCAAACGGTAAGTGCCACCCCCCCGGGGCTGTCCCTGTCCCAGCAGCGTGTGACCCCGGTGCCGTGTCCCCGCAGCTGATCGAGGTGCAGGCCGAGTACCACCGCAAATCCCTGGCGCTCCTGCAGAACTTCCTGCCACAGATCAAAGCCCAGCAGGGTGAGTGCCCGCGGGTCTGTCCCTGCCTGTGCCACCGAGGGCCTGTGACAGACTGTGACCCCGCAGGGACAACTGAGCACCCTCCCTTTGCTTGTCCTGCCTGCATCCCATCCCATCCCATCCCATCCCATCCCATCCCATCCATTATCCCATCCCATCCCCCTCGGCTGGGGCAGGGTCCATCTGCATGGAGAGGGAGCCTGCCCCAGTGTGCTGAGGGTGGGCAGGCCCTGGCACAGTGCCCAGAGCAGCTGTGGCTGCCCCTGGATCCCTGGCAGTGCCCCTGGATGGGGTTTGGAGCACCTGGGACAGTGGGAGGTGTCCCTGCCATGGCAGGGGTGGCACTGGGTCCTCTCCACCCCTTCTGGGATTCTGTGGAAATCCCCACCGAGTGCAGCTGCAATCCCATCACTGAGGGGGTTTGGGGGGTCTCTCTGGGGGTGCAGCATCCAGGGGCTCTGGGCTGGGAGCCCGAGGTTGGGGTGAGCCCCAGGCAATGGCCCCAAAGCAACTCCTTCCTGGTGCTGCTGTCACTGCAGCAGGGCACGGAGGGGTTCCTATTTCATTTTTCTCTCTATTCCACAAAATATTCCTGCCTTAAACCATGATGGAAGGAGGGGAGAATATTGCAAAAGTTTGCCTGTCATTACCCCTGTGGAAAATGTTATCCAGCTCCTTTGGGATCCTGTGATGGCTGGAAAAGGCCAGAGCTGCAGGGTCCTGTTCTAACAACACCCGTACAGAGTATTTTACTGCCAAAACTGTGACCCAAGGGCCTTTTGGGGAGGGGCTGCTGGATCTGGCACCACCCTCCCTCTCCTCTGCCCCCTCTGCACGTTACAGAGGCGTGGATGGAGAAGCCCTCCTTTGGGAAGCCCCTGGAGGAGCACCTGGCTGTCAGCGGGCGGGAGATCGCCTTCCCCGTGGAGGCCTGCGTGACCATGCTGCTGGAGTGTGGCATGCAGGAGGAGGTGGGTCCTGCTGGATTTGGGGGAATGCAGGAGGAGGTGGGTCCTGCTGGGATGGGGGATGCAGGAGGAGGTGGGTCCTGTTGGATTTGGGGATGCAGGAGGAGGTGGGTCCTGCTGGGATGGGGGATGCAGGAGGAGGTGAGTCTTGCTGGATTTGGGGGGATGCAGGAGGAGGTGGGGCCTGCTGGGTGGGAGGATGCAGGAGGAGGTGGGTCCTGCTGGAAGGGGGAATGCAGGAGGAGGTGGGTCCTGCTGGAAGGGGGAATGCAGGAGGAGGTGGGTCCTGCTGGATTTGGGGGGATGCAGGAGGAGGTGGGTGGGTCTGGCTGGATTTTTGGGGATGCAGGAGGAGGTGGGTGGGTTCCTGTTGGATTTGGGGATGCAGGAGGAGGTGGGTCCTGCTGGAAGGGGGAATGCAGGAGGAGGTGGGTCCTGCTGGAAGGGGGGATGCAGGAGGAGGAGGTGGGTCCTGCTGGAAGGGGGGATACAGGAGGAGGTGAGTCCTGCTGGATTTGGGGATGCAGGAGGTGGGTGGGTTCCTGTTGGATTTGGGGATGCAGTAGGACATGGGTCCCATGACTCTTGCTGGCACAATGGAAGGGGTCACAGGTGTCTCCAGGGCCAGGGGGAGGAGCTGGGGGGCTCCAGGGACGTGCCCACCCCAAGCCCTGTCCGTGTTCTCTGCCCAGGGTCTCTTCCGAGTGGCTCCCTCGGCCTCCAAGCTGAAGAAGCTCAAGGCTGCCCTGGACTGCTGCGTGGTGGACGTGCAGGAGTACTCAGCTGACCCCCATGCCATCGCAGGTGGGGCTCCTCGGGGTGGGGTGGCCCCTCCAGGCACCCCCCAAGGGCACCCTGAGGGGGATCAGTGGCACCAAGCCCAGCTGGAGACCAGGAACCAGTGGTGCAGTCCAGGGCTTGATGCTGGGTCTGATTTTGTTCAATTAATTTTGTCGTTAATTAATGGCCTGGCTAACGGAGGAGGGTGTCCCCTCAGAGAGCGAGCAGGTGACACAAACTGGGGACAGTGGCTGCCCCAGGGAGGCGCTGCCATGCAGGGGGAAGGTGCTCGGAGGGGCTGCAGGGTGGCACAGGGGGTGCCACAGGCTGCTCCAGCTCGGGGACACTCAGGGGGCTGTGGGGGGAAGGCTTGGGGGGGATTTGGGTCCAAGTGCCCGGGAGCAAAACCGCTTGGTGCCCAACAGCCGGTGCCACCTGCAGTGCCAATCCCTGTGTCCCCTGTGTGCCACAGGAGCCCTCAAGTCCTACCTGCGGGAGCTGCCCGAGCCCCTGATGACGTTCGAGCTGTACGAGGAGTGGATCCAGGCCTCCAAGTGAGTCTGGGCTGTCCCCCTGTTCCTCCTGGCACGGCAGGGACAGCCTGGGTCCCCAGGGTGCTTTGGGCTTTTTCTGGCACGGTTCACAGCATTTGGGATGTTTCCTCTGGGCTCTGAGAGCCATGGAGTGGGGAGAGGAAATCCAAAGGGATTCCTTCTCCTTGGGATGGGTTTTGGGACTTCATTTACTTCCATAATGATGGTGGCAGCCTGGGGGTCTCACAGGGTCCCCAGGGGTGGGGCTGGTGGGGTCCACAGGCCCAGGGCAGGGTGGGGATGGGGGATAAACCCCTCTCCCCTCTCCCTGCAGCATCCCGGAGCAGGAGAAACGGCTGCAGGCTCTCTGGAACGCCTGCGAGAAGCTGCCCAAAGCCAACTACAACAACATCAGGTGGGCCAGAGGCCAGCAGGACATGGGGAGGGGACACAGAGGGTGTGTGTGGCCCGTGCACTGACCCCTTTGGGATTCCAGGTACGTGATTAAATTCCTGGCCAAGCTGACTGAGTACCAGGATATGAACAAAATGACCCCGAGCAACGTGGCCATCGTGCTGGGACCCAACCTGCTGTGGCCACAGGCCGAGGGGTGAGCCTGGGTGAGGGGCAGATCCCGCTGGGAGCCCTGCTGGGAATCCTGCTGGGAATCCTGCTGGGAATCATGCTGGGAATCATGCTGGGAATCATGCTAGGAGCCCTGCTGGGTGAGGGATGAGGGGCAGATCCCACTGGGAGCCCTGCTGGGAACCCTGCTGGGATTCCCGCTGGAACCCTGCTGGGGGCTCTGCTGGGAACCCTGCTGGGGCCCTGCAGGGAAAACTGCTGGGAAAACTGCTGGGACAGCTGCTGGGAATCCTGCTGGATGAGGGCTGAGGGGCAGATCCCACTGGGAACCCTGCTGGGAATCATGCTAGGAGCACTGCTGGGTGAGGGCTGAGGGGCAGATCCCGCTGGGAGCCCTGCTGGGAATCTCACTGGGCAAACTGCTGGGAAAACTGCTGGGTGAGCCCTGAGGGGCAGATCCCTCTGGGAACACTGCTGGGAATCCTGCTGTAATCCCGCTGGGAATCCTGCTGTAATCCCGCTGAGGCCCTGCTGGCCGGGGGGGTTGCTGATCTGCCCCCGCCCCGCAGGAACATGACGGAGATGATGACGACGCTGTCGCTGCAGATCGTGGGCATCATCGAGCCGCTCATCCAGCACGCAGACTGGTTCTTCCCGGGAGGTAGGGCGTGCCCGCGGCCCCGGGGACAGCGGGGCTTCCCGGCACCTCCCGGGGAGGGGGCTCAGGGCTCCCACGATCGGTTCTGCCAGCCCCCTGTGCTTGCAGGAGCTCGGGCAGCGCTCTGGCCAGACCCAAATTCACCAGCACCCCCTGAGCCCATCCCCGCAGTGCCAGCACCCCCAGCCCCCCCTCCCTGAGCTCACCCCTCCCAACACCCTCTGCCCCCCCAGACATCGAGTTCAACGTGACGGGGAACTACGGCAGCCCCCTGCACGTGAACCACAACGCCAACTACAGCTCCATGCCCTCGCCGGACATGGAGCACGGCGAGCGCCGGCAGCACGAGCAGGCCCGGCGGCCCCTCAGCGTGGCCACCGACAACATGATGCTGGAGTTCTGCAAGAAGGACGGGTAGGGACCCTGCCGGGCTGGGCACAGCAAGGGGATGGCTCTGACACCCGCCCGGGCAGCAGGAGAGGATGCTCAGCTCACCGTGGGGCGGGTGGCACTGAGCTGGTGGAGGTTGGGTGGTCCCAGGGTGCAGGGAGCCCCTGCTTTCCGTGCCAGGCTCTTGGGGGTGCTCAGGTGAACCCAGGGCTCTGTGCCTGCCCCCAGCCCACGGCAAGTGGGAGTGGGGTGGCCCTTGGGGTGGCACTGGGGCCGTGCCATGCCAGAGACAGGTGTCCTGGTGTCCTCAAGGTGTGCAGCATGTGCTCCAGGGGAAAGCTCCTCATTCCCAGCCTGTGCATCTCCCCCCTCCACCACACCTCACAGGGACCTCAAAGAGTCCTGAAAACACCCGGGACTCTGCCCATCCCAAGAGGTTCCCATTTCCAGAAGGTGTCCCAAGCTGTCCTACCACTGGCACAGCCTCAGCCCCCTGCCCCTTCTCTCGAAGCCCCTCGACCCCCACAGCCAGGGGGGCAGCAGTGACCTCTGTCCCTGTGCACTGTGCAGTTTTAGGGATTTCACATTAATAATGGTTTGTTTCTGCCCATGCAGCCTTAGGAAAATCCAAAGGTACTGTATCCTCTGCAGGCTGCTGGGAGGCTGCTGGGAGGGTGCTGGGAGGGTGCTGGTGCCTGCAGCTTCTTGGGGAAGGGAGAGGTGGCTGGTAGGTGACACAAACCCATCCCACGCTGCCACCCCCGCCCCGCTGCCCTGTAGTTTCATTCCCAGCAGTTTCCCGGCGGAAGAGGCGTTTTTAGGGACCCCGAAGGAGTGGCGGGAAGGTGCTGGCGGTGCCCTCCCGCCGGGCGGGTGCTGACCCCCGTCTCTGTGTCCCCAGCATGGGCGTCAGGGTGATGGACACCTCGTGGGTGGCTCGCCGAGGCACCTCAGCGGGGCGCAAGGCGGCCTCGGCCCCCCCGGCCGCGCAGCCCCCGGCCCCGCCCGCCGAGCTGCCCCCCACGCCCCACTCGCCCATCCCCGAGCAGTCGCCGGAGATTTCAGCAACGCCCTCCCCGCCTCCCACCAGCTTCGGCTTCCCCCCGGCAGCCGAGCGGACAAGGTAAGGCCAGCGGCACCTCCTGTCCCCGAGCCGGGCACCTCCCCGCGAGTGGGGCCAGCAGGAAAAACCTCAGCAGAGAGGATGCTCAGCATCCCGGGAGAGGGGCAGGGTCACGGGGCAGCAGGGGAGGAGCAGGGTCCTGGAGCAGCAGGAGAGGATGCTCAGCGTCCTGGGAGAGGAGCAGATTCCTGAGGGCAGCAGGAGAGGATGCTCAGCGTCCCGGGAGAGGAGCAGGGTCCCGGGGCAGCAGGACAGGATGCTCAGCATCCCCGCAGCCACCAGCACATCCGCATCCTGCCATTCCCATGAGAACCGTGCTGCCTCCATGGGTTTTCCTGAGGGCCCCTGGCCCGGGTGCCACTGGGCTCTGGTGGAATTCGGGTTGGAGGTGCTGCAGGAATGTGCAGAGAAAGCCCTCAGGGAGCCCAGCGCCCTCTGAGACCTTCGTCTGCCCAGGGTGTGAGCCCGACTTTAATGCGCACAGCCCATGTGGGAGAAAGCGCCTGAATCGCACTTTTCTGCCCCAAAAGGGAAGCAGAGCGCTCACACCTGGGGAGGGGCGGCCCCGGGAGGGTCGTGCCGTGGGACGAGCCGGGGGGCTCGGCACCCCGAGAGCTCCCGCGCCCGCCAAGGCTTCCGCTCCTTTATGAGCCCCCCCTCGCTTTCGTGCTGCCTCTGCCGCTTTTCACGGTGCTTCTGTGCCTTTGCAGCAGGGCTGGCCCGGCAGCCGCCTGGAGCAGCGGCGCCCCCCGCCCCGGGGACCCCCCGAGCCCGCTCTGGCCGCAGCCCCCACGAGCGGCGGGGTGAGGGACCCCGGGGGGCGGGAGGGGGACAGCGGGTGCGGGGCGCTGGGTGCGGGAAGGAGCTCACGGCTCTGCCTCTTCTTCTTCTTCTTCCGCTGTTTGTTTTCAATTTTCTTTTTTATTGTTACGGCTTATCTTCTACGTTCTCCTTTAATTTGATTTTTTTTGTTTTATTTTGTTTTATTTTTAATAATATTTTTCATTATTTTTGAGTTTTCTTTACTTTGTTAATTTTTCATTTAACTTTATCATTTAATTCCCTTGTATTTTTTGGTTTTAATTTTATTTCAAATTCTTTGAATGTTTAATCTTTGTTTTTCATTGTCTTAATTCTATTTTTCATTTATTTTAATTTAATTTAACTTCAAATTTTACTTTTTTTTTTTATTCTTGCCTTTTCTTTTTCCTTATTTTGCGGAGGTTTTTCCCTTCTACTTCCTTTTTCTTCCATTTCTTTTTTCCCTTTTTTCCCTTTCCCTCTTTCCTTTTTCCCATTTCTCGAGGGTTTTTTTTTCCTTTCTTTTCCCCCCCTTTACCTTCCATCTCTCTTCTCCCGTTCTTTCCCTTCCCCGTTCTCTCTCCCGCGCCCGTTCCGTGCCCCGTGCCCCCTCCCCAGCACTTTCAAGCCCCCGGAGCTGTCCCCGGGGCCGCCCCCCGCCCCCGCGGCCGAGCAGAGCCCGCACTCGCTGCGCAAAGGTAGGAGCGGGGCTCGGGGGGGGCTGCGGGTCCCCGCGGGTGGCCCGGCCCTGACGCCGTGTCCCTGTCGCTGTCTCTGTCCCGCAGGGGCCAAGAAGCTGGCGCCCATCCCGTCCCCGGCCAGCCTGTCCCCCACTCCCCCCAGCACCCCGTCCCCGTACGGCCCCCCCGGAGCCGCCCCCGCGGCCGGG